TAAGGTTGCATCTTTATATAAACTTTTTCCTCTTAAAATACATACTAATTTTTTGACGCTGTTTTAAATACATGTCAAATCTACACTGTCGAACTACAATGGATGATTTTGAATATTACAACTTTGTTTCTATTAGTAAGGTTACAGCCTTTTACAAACCGCACCCAATTACTTAATATATACATGCAAGTAGTAGTATAATGAATGAGCTATGTTAAAAGAAACCATCAACATGAATATCGAAACATCAAAATATGCGCAGTCAAAAGAAAGAAAAGAAAATGAAACTAGTAATGAAGTGGAGAGAGAGAGAGAGAGAGGAATACCCGAGTTGAAGTGCTGTTTGCTCCTGATGTGAGTAGTTATGATGGTTCGGTTCTAATAGGTTAACTTGGAGGTAGTTCCGAGAGTCAAATGGTGGCAATACATCATATTCTGGCCCTGGCAACATGTTCATGTGTTGTGCCCTTTCATTTTCAGCTATCTGATATGCACACAACCCCCTCTAATTCTATCACTTATCTTAGTCAAATATCAATTAATACAACTTATTTTTTAATTTATGCATATTTTTTAGTCTATAACTGCTTTTTTCCACAGAGAGTAGAGAGAGAGAGAGAGAGAGAGCTCGTTGGATTTGGATATGGTTTTGGTATAACTGGTATTTTTAGTTTTGGGCACTTATCATTTTCTAAACAAAAAAGAAAAAAAAAAAGGTGATTCAAACATAGTAACAAAGGAAAGCTACGAACAAACAGCATTTCACATATTAATAGAAGGATACCTTAGCTCGGAGAAGCATGTTGTCTTTCTGTAGTTCAAGTTCCTGCATGCCAAAAGCCAACAGCAATGACAAGAAAGCAATAGCAAAACATATGTATAGCACAAAAAAAATCTCAAAACTAATGGTCCGGAACTCTAGTATACTAGAAGAAAAAATGTCAGTTACCCGATTCTGCATGTAGTCGATTTCAGCGAATAGTAGCTCATTCTGCAAAGATAGTAAGAGGGAAATTAAAAATAGATCTCCGGTGACCATATTTTATGATTTATTCGGGCTTTGCTAAACCAAACAATTTAGAAGAAGATCAGAATACCCATCATCTGGGCGATTTGTTGTTCAAGTTTTGAACCATGTCATATGAGAATTCCGTTATTTACCTTTTTTGATCTAATTTTACTAATTCCCTTTTCCAATTTGTTCTCCAATGTCCTGAGCTCCTTAACAGTCATTGAACCAACGGAGTCACCCATCAACTGCCTGAAAGAAACAATTTTTGTGAGTATAAATTTCCTGAATTGAAAATTTAAATCATTTTGTTTTGGAATTTCATTGAATTATGTATTAAATAAGGGACCATATCTTACCTGTTTGTATTCGTTAAAACCTGGATTTGATTGCGAAGTTTTGCAGCTTCTTGTTGGTAATACTGAAATGCAATAATGTCGAGTGAGACTAGGTTATCACGTTCAACTTTAAATAGAGAGAGAGATGAAAAGAATTCCATCTATTATTGCCTTCAATTTCCATGATATATAATGCTATGCACCTTGATACACAACAATTGTTGGTGCAAATGCCTAACAATTTTTCTTTCATAAATATTGAAACAGGTAGAAGGAGAAGCTGCACTATAATGACCTACATTAGATCCACTGTCTAATGCTTGTCAGTTCCGATCACTTCTCAACTAACCATAATAGAACAAATCAATAAGAACCATGGCTAACCCATTTTCTTTTTTCTGTGAATAAAGATGAGATTGACTTACCCATTTTCTTTCCTCTTTCGTTCTTATTAATCTTGGATTTGATCAGGCTAACATTGGTGAATGTTTCATTGTCTTTGAAATTTGAATGTGGGCAAAAGTGTTGGGATTTCTCTTGAATCCAATGATTATTGTGTGGGAACGGTTTTAGGTCGCCTAGTTTAAAGGGTTTTCAGTGTCCTAATTTTGTCAAATTTTTCTTATTTTGGGGAAGGTAATTCTTAGCTTTTAGGAATTCTATATTTCCCATATGAGAAACTCATTAAAAGAAAGGTGAGGTTTGTATAAAGTGTATACCTTGTATTAAACAAAGAAGGCGCACCTCTAAATTTTGCTAGAAATGTAGTTCTGACATCGGAAACTTTACAATGATGTGAAAAACTATGTTTAACCCTAAATATGAAATTTAAAAGTAAAAAAATGATAGAGATCGAGCGGATCTATAAACACTTGAAAATCTTAAAAATATGTGGTCCAAATAACTTGTCATAAGATGTACCATTTTTAAAACTTGAAGTTCTTTTTTCTTTATATCCATATATCTCGAGGTCCAGATGATCAATTAGAAGGTTTTCCAACTTCGAAACACTCTTTTCTATTAGATTTCAGATGCATTGTACTTCTACAATATAACTTTGTAACCTTATAAAAAATGTTTTTCTAAAAGATTAAAGTTTATGTATCTTTTCCCTATAAATAGGTATATAGAGGGAAATAGGCAAGGAGTAGAAAGTCCTTGGGTTGTGTGTAGTAGAAAGTCCCTGCAACTCTCATCATGGTAAACACCCCGTCCCCCACAATAAGGAAACCTCTCTACCTACAACAAGAAAAACATCTCTACCTAAAACCCAAAAATGGAGTTCCCTCAGCCCAACACTCCAACATCACGGGCCTTCTTTTCATGGGAAGATAGACCCAAGGTTCTGTACCTATGCAAACCAAGGTTTTGTGGAATCTAGAGAGCGATGAGAACTTAGAAACTTTCCAACTTCATTCTCAATGTTTGCTTGCCCTGTGAACCAAGACTACCTCGATCATCTCTTGTTACGGTGAACCCCCCACTACAATACCAATGGGTTAAGTGGGATGTGATTTTGCATCACCTTCCTGATAATCTCCACTTTGATGTAAAATCGCCATCTACATCTGGTTATTCATGTCTTAAAGAACCTAGTGAACTTTGCCAATGCCGTAAGTTCTCTACCCTAATAACATCCATGAGTATGCCTTCATACTTGTTTTTCTCATGCAAACTCCACCTTCTTCAACACTTTTGTCCTTGAGTTTTTGATGCCATCTTCCCTGTGCACATGCTCTAGGTGAATCATTTTCTACACTCCTATAAGCAAAACCGGTATTTGATCTCGTATCACTGAGATCCCTTGCATAAGATTATCCCACAGAGCCTTATTTATATTTATGGCCTTGGCAATGTTTGCACATAACTCTCAAATTTTAAACTAACAATTTCTCTCCATTTCAAAATTTTCTTTCTAGGCTAAATAGAAGCCAATCAAGAAAACTACAAACAAGTGAAATTACAAATCGTATATAAAAAATGGCAATGATCAAAATCAACACTAGAGTAATATATAACATTATAGTGACATCGGCCCTTCCTTCACCAAACTTTGAATGTTGACCTGAAGAAAATTTATGAGGTGCTTCCGAGTTTATCTTCTTATGAAATGCCCAAATCTGAAATTTCTCTAACTTGCCGAATATCCTTACTAAGATCTTGATTTGCACTATCAAGATCATCCATTGCCAAACCACATGTCCCTTGATGAGCTTCACCATCTACAAGCAAATTTACCTTTTTATTTATAATTGTGGTCCCTAAGAATTTATACAAGTTTTCTTCCCGAACTCCTTTCATCATAACTAGAACCCCATTTGAAACTTTGAGCACTACACCTTGCCTGGTAAATTTCCAACTCTCTATATAAAAATAAGAAAGTGAAGTTAAGATCTTCTTCGTATCCGACACATTTCACACATTTTCAAATGTCTGAACCATACTTTCTTACTCTTTAAGTGAACCGAGTCCATTCTGATCGTTTTACTCATTGAATTATTTCCTATTGATGCTAAACTACCCTTACATTGCTCAAATGCATCAAACTATAATTTATGCGAGCATATATATTGTGCTTCCACTATCAAGGATCCAATTATGATAGTACATGAGATTGCATCCTACCATCAACACCTCCTCTTCAATATAACCAGATATCGATTCTTCAACTTGGTGAGCTCCATTTTCTGATTCACCTTGCCTTTCCATTTTTGAACTGAAACCCTTTGAGGAATTTGGCTTATTTGTTTGTTAATTTTACTTTATGTCACCAGACCTACCACAACACCAATAACCTTTGTTATAAAACCCGCTCGACTTTGATCGGTTACTTGAGGAATCTCTTGATGAACTACCACTTTCATCCAACCAGCTTCTTGCCACAAAGACATCCATCCTTGAACCCATCGAATTATCCATCGATACTTTCTTTCGAAATTCATTGACAAGAAGTGCACTATAAACCGAATCCAATTTGACGAGATTATTCATTGTTACAACTCAAGTAACAAAGTAATGTCACCGCCTTATCTTTCTCATCCATCTTTACCCCGATACTTTGGAGTTGACAAATTATGCTATTATTCAAGTGCTTTGAGACGTTCATGCCATCTCCCATCCTCAAAGAATTAAAGAAAATTTGATTTGTAAGGGGCTTTGTTTTGTACAAGCTTTCTAGCTTTGCCCATGAATTTGCCACGGTCTTTTCTCCTACTATTTTAAATGGTATTTCATTCACTAAACACAAGCAAATTGTGGTGAGTGCCTTCCTATCCAATTCTTCATAATCATCATCCTTCATATTTTCTGATATCTTGGATTTTCTTTGTAGTGCTTTATAAAGACCTTGTTATACTAATGTATCATGAACTTTTATTTTCTAAAGTTTAAAATTATTCCTTCTATCAAATTTCTCTACTGCGAATTTTTAAGTAGCTATTTTCCCAAATCATTGCACACTTCCTTTGAGCTTTGATACCATTTGTTGAGAACCGAGACTACTTGATCACCCCTTGCTGTGATGAAACCCGTCACTATGAGAAATCTAATATCTCGAAATCAACTTGCCTATCACCGGCAAGTCGATTCCAAGAAATCCAAACACCAAAAATTGAATATGGTGTAGTAAATTTGGTCAAAGTATGATGAAATCAGGAGAAGATAAAATACCAAGTCCAATGACACAATCACAAATCACAAATTATAATCAAAGCCTATATATATATATATATATATAGGGGGTAACCAAGGAAATGATTAAATATTAATAGAAGAATTTCAAGTTTTGGGATATGTAAATATTAACTTACAATGGTAGAAGAAAAACTCAAAATAAATTTTTCATACTATAAAGAAACCATTAATTAACTTCCTTTTTCGTCACTATCGATCAACACCCTTTTGCATCAAGTCGACCAACACCATCGCCGCAAAAATACCCATAAAATTTTGCAAAATGCAAGGCATAAAGAAGCTAAGGTTTGCGAAAGCCCCCAATTTTTATTTTTTTGCGAAAGCCCTCTTTTACAAGAGCTTTTTCTCACACCTCCCCAAAAAAAACCCAACCTATTACTTCCTCTCTCGACAATTGACTTTAAATGCTCCATAAAAGTGATTTTTTATTTGGCCAAAATTATCCTTGGTCCATGAGAGAATACCATAAGGTTAAAGGCGAGGTGATTCCCAACACCCTCATAGAAAATTTAGGAATTCTAGCAATATAATGTTTCAAACCAAAGGGGATTTGCCTTGCTTTTTTTCGTGTAATTCAGTGGAATGACGAGGGTTTCTGAAATGGCTAATGGTTTTTGAACGTGTTAGAATGGAAGCCTAAAGGCACAAGCGGTGCTACGCCCACATCTTCAGCCCCATTCTCCGGGGTCCATCAGTGAGATGTAGGACCTAAAATAGTTCATGTTTCAATAGAGAGTTGCACATTGATAAGATGTTTTCTGTTTTGCTGTTTTCCCCCAACAAAATCACAAACTAGGTAGGTTATTCTGGTTTCCCTCAATGGAACAGCAATTAGGGATTTCATTCTCCACATTAAGCAGCACCAGATTTGTGGGTTTCTTTGTCTCAAACCCTTTTTTTTTGGTTTTTTCATTTTCCTCTGCAAATGGAATAGGGCTGGCATGCTTGATAGTGCTCTCTTGTCGCCCAGTGAAACTTCGAAGGTGAAAATAGACAAACCACCTACCTGGTATTTACTAAGAAGAGAGAAATGGGAGAGCTTGCCGAGAGAGAGAGAGAAAACTACTCTACACTCTTCTTATAGCCAAACGGTACATAGACGCAATAACATAAAAGGAAAATAATAGATACGGCTGCACCTCTATCAAAATAAGTAAAGCCTCACCTTATAGCTCATCAAAAATTGCAATTCCAGTTTTGAAAATTCTTCAAATCGATCATCTCAGTTTGAAGTGAAAAAAAACTGAGGATTTCAAGTTCTAAAAATAATATATATTACAACAAATTATCTTGACCATCCATTTTTCCCTAGAATTAAGGGTTCATAAATCCATGGGATTTGTAACATTTTTTGAGTTTGAAATTTTATTATTGGTGTTGGTAATTAATT